ATGCCTGTAGTCCCAGCTACTCGGGAGGCTGAGGCAGGAGGATCGCTTGAGCCCAGGAGTTTGAGGTTGCTGTGAGCTAGGCTGATGCCACAGCACTCTAGCCTGAGCAACAGAGTGAGACTCTGTCTAAAACAAACAAACAACAACAAAAAAACCCACACAACACGTTTTGAAGATTTACTACAAAATTAGAACGTAAAAAATATTTTTATCAATTTTTACATTGATTACACATTAAATGATAATATTTTGGATGCATTGAGTTAACTCTAGTTAACTCTAAAATTAATTTCCCATTTGTTTTTCCTTTTTAAAAAAATGTGACTCCCAGAAAGTTTGAAATGACATACGTGACTTGCATGATTTTACGGGATTTTACGGGGCAGCGCTGGTCTCCTTGGTGACGGTGGGAGCCGCGTTCCTCAGAGCCCCCGCCCTGTGCGGCGCGGGCCGAGCTGCCGGAGGGACGCAGAGGTGAGGCCAGCCTCACTGCCCACACTGACCCCAGGCCCTCTTCAGACCCCTCTGCAAACTCACAGAGGCCCAGAGAGCCAGAGACCTTCCGCGGAGGCCAGCTGGCCCCTCTGCCGCCGTGTCCCCCACGGGGCGGTGGGGGAGGACGCCCCTCCCGCAGCCCGTGAGGCCCGACTCCGAGAGCACGCCCTGTGTGCCCCGGCTCTGCTTCCTCCTCCTCGCCGAGCCCTCACACCCACCCCTTCCAGGCCCCGGAGGCCTCGCCCAACGCGACTGAGAGCGCGAAACTCCCGGGCCAAGGCACAGCCAGCCGCGTGGCAGAAGCAAGAGGCCCACTCCTTGCCCAGTGGGCAGGCCTCCTGCCTGGGCCTCTAGGAGTCCTTCCCTCCTCCAACCCCACCCCACCCCCAATCATTCTCTCTCTCTCCTCCCTCTTCATTACCCACCACCCTCCCAACTGGCTTCTTCCTTCCAGCACACTCGCATGCTCAACTCCCTGCTGCTTTTAAAACACCTACAAGGCAGGGGACAAGACCCCCCCTTCCCCCCTTCCACCATCAAATTACAGACTCATCTACCCTCCTGTCTTCACCTTCGGACCCTATTTCGACACAGGGCCGGCTCCCGGCCCCCCTCCCAGGGCTGCTGGGGGAAGTCACCGTGGCCCGGTGGTGGCCCAAATCCACCAGATCCTTGTCAGCCTCGCTCCACCTGACCTCAGAGCAGAGTCGGCGCCTGGTCCCCCTTTGTCAGCCGTGCCCACGACCCCTCCTGGTCACCACCCACCAGCACCCACGGACCCGCCCTGGCTCCGCCCCTCGCGCAGTCCTCACCTGGAGATTCCCCCCGGCCCTGGCCTTAACCCACTGCTCACTCTGCGCCTTCTCTGCCCTCTCCGGGCACTGTCCTTTGAACGGTTGAAGCCACTGTCTCCGAAGGCATGACGCCCATGTCACTCTTCCACATCCAGCGCTGCCAGCTGGACGCTCCCTGGGGCCCGTGTTCAAGGTGTCCAAAGGGGGCTCACCACCTTCCTCTCCCAGGTCTCCATCTGACCAGGGGTCAAGACCCTGCCCCTTGCAAGTGACCTAAAAGGGCGAATGGACCTCTGAACATGTTTACGCAAAGTCCAGGCGTTCAAATGATGTCCTGGGGACCCGGCCTCTCCTGGTGGCTCAGGCTGGCCGCCTCTGGCGTGTCTTACCCTGGGCAGCCCCGTCCCCCCTGCCCCCTGCCCACGCGGGGTCCCGGCAGCCCCAGGCTCATACAGTCCAGGTTCAAGTCCAGGGGAAAGAAGGCATCTCCTCCCGAAACTTCTGCCCAAGTCCCTGGATTCACCGTGACTGGACCCCGAGTGCATTCTGGAACCAACCCCTGTATCCAGGGTTGGAATCGCACTAGTGAGCCAAAGCTGGATCATATGACTATCCCTGAAATAGGCACAAGTACAGTCATACGTGCACGACGACATGAGTGACTGTTTTGGTCAGCGACGGACCACACATATGATGGCGTTCCCAAAAGATCGTAATTCCGTATTTCTACCGCAACCTTGCTATGTTCAGCTATGTGTAGACACACAGATACCTACCATTGTGTCACCTGAAGCATTCAGTACAGCAACGTGCTGTGCAAGTTTGTGGCCTGGGAGCGATTGACGCCGCTCAGAGCCAGGCGTGTGGCAGGCTGTGCCGCCTGGGTTCGTGTGAGTGCGTGCACGGGACTCGCACCACGACATAATTGCCCAGTGCCGTGTTTCTCAGCACGTATCCCCGCTGCACAAACGGTTGCCAGGGAGACGGGGCTGTTGATGGGCCAGCACTGAGTTACAGGCGTCTTCCCTCAGGCAGGGCACGGAACGGAGCCCCTCTTAAACTACAGGGCCGAGAGTGGGTGGGAGATGGTTCTCCAGAGGGGATCTGGGGTCCATTTCCAGAAGAAGGGAGGATCCGTCCAGGTGAAACAGTGGCAAGTGTCCACACTCCCACCTGGGAAGCCCCTCCCTGCCCTCGTGGCGTTTCCCTTCCGGTCCCACACCTCCGCTCAGAGGACCAAGTTGACTCTTTTTTCAAGTCTTTTCTCTTCTCTCCACTTTTTAATTAATTTATTTATTTTTGAGACAGTGTCTCACTTTGTTGCCTGGGCTAGAGTGCTGTGGCGTCAGCCTAGCTCACAGCAACCTCAAACTCTTGGGCTTAAAGCGATCCTCCTGCCTCAGCCTCCTGAGTAGCTGGGACTACAGGCATGTCTGGCTAATTTTTTCTATATACATAATTTAGTTGGCCAATTAATTTTTTTCTATTTTTTTATAGTAGAGATGGGGTCTTACTCTTGCTCAGGCAGGTTTCGAACTCCTGACCTTGAGCGATCAGGAGCGCCTCGGCCTCCCAGAGTGCTAGGATTACAGGTGTGAGCCACCGCGCCCGGCCCTTCACTTCTTTAGAGTGACCCTCCTTATCGTCTCTTGCCTGGACTATTTCAGTTGTTTTCTAAGAGAAAGGTTTCCCCCCAGCCACTCCATTCACGTCTTTTCATGCTATGAACCTGGTTATCTTTTCGAAGCTTAGATCGGCTTCACTCTTCCTCCACTCAGCAAGATTTTAGAATTCATCCACGTGGTTTTGTGTGCCAGCAGTTTGTCTTTATTGCCGTGTAGCATTCCAACCTTGTGTTATACCCAATTTGTTTATCCACTCACCTGGTGATGGACATTTTGAGTTGTTTCCAATTTTTGGCTATTGTGAATAAACATCAGAGCACAAGTCTTGATGCAGACATGTTTCCATGTCTCTTGAGTAGATACCAGTGAGTGGAGCTGACAGGTCATGTGGTGAGTGTATGTTTGACTCTTTGAGAAACTACCAAGCTGTTTTCCAAAGTAGTTGTACTATTTGAAACTCCCACCAGCAACGTATGAGAATTCCAGGTGCTCCCCATCCTTGCCAACACTTGCTATTGTCAGATGTTTTAAGTTTAATCACTTTATAGGTGTGCAGCACTATTTCATTGTGGTTTAAATTTGCATTTCCCTGAGAGTGATACTGTACATTTTTCATGTGCTTCCGGGCCATTTGTTTAATTCTTTTGTGAAGTGTCTGTTCCAATATTTGCTTATTTTTAATTGCAATTAAAAACTCCAATTTTTAATTACGTGACTTATTGAGTCGATATGCTAAAAATTTGTTAAGAGAATTTGCATCTATGTCTATGAGGGATATTGGTCTTTAGTTTTCTTTTCTTGTAAAGCCTTTGTCTGGTTTTGGTATCAGAACAACTGGCCTCATAAAATGAGTTGAAAAGTGCTGTCTCTATTTTCTGAAAGAATTTGTGTAGGATTGATACTAATTTTTCCCCAATGTTTGATGAAATTCACAAGTGAAGCCATTTGTGCCTAGACTTTTCTTTGGAAGAAGGCTTTTAATGACAAATTTAACTTCTTTAATAGCTACAGTGTTATATACATTTTTTATTTCTCCTCTATCAATTTTGGTAATTTGTGCCTTTCAAGAAATGTGTCCATTTTATCTGAGCTGTCAGATTAAAAGGTAAAAAGTTACTCGTAATATTCCCTTGTTATCTTTTACACGTCTGTAGGATCTATTAATATAATGATGTCCTCTTTTTTTTTCCCAATGTGGAATATTTTCCAGAGTAGGAAATCATAGATAACACCTCTAACTGGAAAAAAATAATCAAGAAGAGGTGGTAGACACATGATATTTGGAAAAATGAAGTTAAATACAAGAAGAAATTGGAAAAGTTCAAAGTCGTTGCCTCTGGAGACAGGAGTAGTGTGGGCTGGGGCACAGGATTGGAAAACATTTCCTTTCAAACTAGTGCAAAACTCAAGTTCAGGGCTTTTTCAGTCTGGATCTCGTCTGCCTTGCCGTTCCCCAGTTCGGCTGCACTGGACATGTTTCAGTGCTTTTGTGAAGTCCCCTCATCAACTCAGCCTGGTGTCCCTGGTCCTCGGAGCCAGTTCCCCTCCCATCTCCAGGGTGACAGATGTCCACATCCCCAGGGATCCTCGTCTTGGGCCAGTGGTGTCCCCAGTGTGCTGGAAACCCAGAGAGAACCCTTTTTTTGTAACACTCCTCTACTCAATATGCCAAAATTCACTTTAATAACAATCACGAATGAAACAAATAATAGTAACAAGAAAAGAGTTGCAGAGAGTAAACATTTTTCACTGAATTTAAAAAGTCTAGGCCGGGTGTGGCGGCTCACACCTGCAATCCTAGCACTCTGGGAGGCTGAGGCAGGCGGATCGCTCAAGGTCAGGAGTTTGAGACCAGCATGAGCAAGAGTGAGACCCCGTCTCTACCAAAAAGAGGAAAAATTAGCCGGGCACGGTGGTGCATGCCTGTAGTCCCAGCTACTTGGGAGGCTGAGGCAGGAGGATTGCTTGAGCCCAGTAGTTTGAGGTTGCTGTGAGCTAGGCTGACGCCAGGGCACTCTAGCCCGGGCAACAGAGTGAGACTTGGCCTCAAAAAAACCCAAAAAAGCAAAACAAAAAAACCCCCAACAAAAGTCCATAATTATGCCAGTAAAAATTAAATAAGTATCATAATACAAAAAGGGCAGAATTACTTAATCATATCATATTTTTATATTTATTTAATGGCTTGGATTTTTATGTTTTGGTTATAGCCCCATACAACAAATGCTTAAATAATCCTGTAGTAACTTCTAGGTGGATTTTAATGAAATCACTACCTCTGCAAAAGGTACATCTATAATTTTGGTAATTACTAAATCATACGACTAATGTAACTATTTTATTTATATTTCCTATATGAACAAAAATTTGCACTTACCAAACAAAAAGATTGCACTTCATAGTCTGCATGCACCCTGTTTCGCTGCTTAAATTTTTAAACACAAACTGCAAGCGGTCCCATAGAATGACAGAATTGAAGCGACCCAAGTTCTATTGCTTCTTTACAATCACTGTGTGTCACTGTTCACTTCGAACCTGTTTAAATGCAGGAATAGGCAGGAACAGGGGGCTGGGAGCCTTGAACTGTGCCCCAAGCAAGCCTGAACAGTTCCAAACCCATAGAATATTCTCTCCGCAGGAAGGTGTGCGGCTGGGGCCAGGTGCGTTGGCGCCCACTGCACAACTGGCCGTTCTCAGAATTACTGTCCACGTGGAATGCAAGGCTTATTAAAGGAAAATAGAAATGTGCTAATTTGAAGCACACACGCAAACTCAATGGAATTTAAACCCACTGAAGATTTTTAAAGGGAGGGAAATCTTATCTTCACAGAAAATCTCCAGGTTTGTTTAGAATTGCCAAGAGCGTGGTGGTAATAAAAAGCAGACTGGCTTCCAGGCCTGGTTTTCTTATTGTTTGGAATTGTCCACAGGTGGCCATGTCACGCTTTCATTTGCCGAGGGTCCCACTCCTGCTGGCTGCCATGGGCCAACCATTCCGTGGCCCCCGTCCCACCCACTGCCTCTACTTGCCCTGCCGTCCCCACTTCCCGCTGTCTCACGTCGCTCCTGCTCCCGCGATTCCAACAGAACCTTTCTGACCCCTCCGCGCTGTGCAACACAACGTGCACCCGCTGTGACACCGCCGACATCCTCTTTCGTGGAACGTTCTTGCCTTTCCCACCGGCCCCTCCAGTCCCCGCTGCTCAGTGTCCTTCGCTCACTCCACTTGTTCCCCACGGCTCGCTCCGGCCCCGCCTCTCACGCCCTGCTCCTGCCACCGTCCCGTCTGCCCCGATTGCAAGCGCACCACTGGCTACTGAAGCAGGAAACCTGGGAGCTGCCCTAGGTATCTTTTTGTCTCCTCTCTACATTAAATCGATCCCTCTGGTTTGTCTGTTCTTGCTCAAGAACATGTCCCAACTCGGTATGCTTCTCCGTCCCGCCCGAGCGCGCCTTACTTCTTGCCGTGACTACTGCAGCGGCCTTCCACTCCCGATCCACGCTGCCCCGGCTCCACTTGCACCCGGAGAGGTATTTTTTGAGATGCCAATCTTACCGTGGAATCCTTGGCCTAAAACCTGTCCGAGCATGACTTATGAAGTCCAAGATGATCTGGCCCCGGCCACCTCCCACCTCCCGTCCTTGTACTCCAGCCAGTCCCACCTCCCACCTCCCGTCCTTGTACTCCAGCCAGTCTGGAGATACTGGTCCTCGCCGGTGACCAGCGCTGCACAGCGCCGACTGCATGTGGGCACCGCCCTTTCCCCTTTGCCTCGTGCATCCTTCTCGGCCTTTCTGGACTCGGATCGCCTGCCTCTTCCTCAGTGCAGTCTTCCCTGCTGCACCCCAACGTCCGTTAATTTAGTTCAGGGAGGGTGGCGAGAGTGTCCCCCTATTGATTGCGTGTCCCCAGCATCCAATCCTGAGCCTGGCACACGGGACATGCTAGACAGCAAGGGCTGGCAGTGTGTCCCTGTAGTCAGAGGGCCAGAGGCTTGGTTACTCTAGAATCAGAGTCACCTGTGTTTGGGGGGACACCTGGGGGTGTGTGATCTCTACGGACAAATCATCGAACAAACTGAGAGCTGCCTTTCTGCAGGGCTGGCCAAACTTCCCAGAAGTCTCCATGTACCCTCAAGTTAAGTGTCTTAGGAAGACATGCCCAGAAGGCAGGAATTTTCCCCCTAAAGTGGCCCTGGGAGTCATCTCAGCTCCTGTCCCCTCCCCACTCTCACACACCACCTCCCTCCAGGGCAGACCTGCCCAGGGTTTCCAAGAGTCAAGTTGGCCTAGATCTATACGTTTCCTCCAAGTCAAAATGCATCCGTGACCTTTTTGTGATTTTGAGTCAGACCAGAATAAGCATGAGGTGTGAAGTTTTATTAGCCCCTGGGAACTATTTATGCTGGGTGTGCTGCTTGGGCAACGACTGTGAGAGAACATGGTCTGGCTCCTCTCAGAGCGACAAATGGCTTGGCCCGGCTCCTGGGCGCGGAGAAGGCAGCTCTGTAGCGCAATTGTTCCCGCATCAAATCCCTCTAAAGTTCCAACTGGATTATTTGGAGGAAGCTTAATTAAGGCTGCTGTGTTCTTTTCTTCTGTAGCCTTTCTTCTAACTTTGTTTACTTTAAGCACTTACTGCCGTTCCAGAGGATATAGCTTCGGTTAGAAACGGCCCCTCAGGCCACTTGAAGATGTAGGTCAGGGCTCTCTTACGCAAAAAAAAAAGAAAAAAATAAGTAAGATCATACGGGATGTGATTAATACAGTCTATAAACTTCTGTCTCTACCCGTGCCTCAAACAGAGAATATACATCTGTTTCATATGTTAGCGGAACATTTACATAAATTGGTCGAGTACTTGGACAAAAAGAAAGTCACAAGACCTTTTTATAAATGTAGAAATCTTTAGGTTACACTTATTGATCATAATCCAATAAAATTCAAAAACACTAATTTAAAAGAGATAATATTTTTAATGTTTGGAAATTAAGAAACATTTTCCTAAGTGATCCTTAGATCAAAGTAATCCTTAGATCAAAGAAGAAATTAAAAGTAAAATTTAAAAGTACACAGATAACAATGAAAGGAGAACATTTAATACCAAAATCTATGAGAGAAACCAAGCTGTAGTCAAAGGAAAATTTAAAACCCTAAAATGCCATCATCATTCAAGGAGAAAGGTGAAAAAAACATAACAAAACTAAATGTTTGCCTTACAAAGCAAGAAAAGAAGAATAAAATAAATCAAAACAGGCTGGAACAAGGAGTAAAAGATCAAAGAAGTAATCAATAGAGTAATAAAAACAAAGCAAAGAGAAATAAATTTCAAACTGGTTCTCTGAAAAAAACAATCACCTCAAAAAGTTAATTATGAAAAAAAAGTAAAAATATGGAATATTAGGAGAAAGGAGAAATAATCAGCTACAGGAGGCATGAAAATAATTTTAAGACAACACATGCAAGTGTATGACAACAACTTAAAAAACTTAAGAGAATTGAATGATTAAAAAAAATCAAATGCTACCAAGATTGACCTATGAAGAAATGGAAAACTTGAATCTTTCAATGAACAAGAGTAGAGTGGGATGATGATGAAAGGGAACCACTGAAAAGAGTTTTAGAACCCAGGGGTTTACAGCCCACTTTTATTTAACCTTTAAAAACCAGAACAGGCAGGGTGCGGTGGCTCCGCCTATAATCCCAGCACTTTGGGAGGCCAAGGCAGGAGGATTGCTTGAGGCTGGAGTTCAAGACCAGCCTGAGCAAGAACAAGACCCTATCTCTACAAAAAATAAAAAAATTAGCCAGGTGTGTTGATGCGTACACCTGTAGTCCCAGCTACTTGGGAGGCTGAGGCAGGAGGATCACTTAAGCCCAGGAGTTGGAGATTGCAGTGAGCTATGATGACGCCATGGCACTCCAGCCCAGGAGACAGAGCAAGACCCTGTCTCAAAAAACAAGAACAAGAACAAAACAAAAACAAAAAAACAACCAGAGGAGGAAATTCTAATGTAATTTAAGTATTACAAGCCATAGAAAATGGTGGAAGCTCCCTGATCCATTTTATGAAGGCAACATAATTTTAATTCTAAAATCTGACAAAGATACTATGAAAAAAAGAAAATTATAGATCCCTTTCACTTTAAAGATGCAAGGATTCAAAGTATTAGACAAAAAACCCAGGAAATATATCAAAAGAATAAACTAACACATTACGCCCAAGTGGAATCTCTTACTCCAGGGATTAAGGGTGTTTCAGTAACAGGAAATTAATCAACACAATGTATTACACACACACACACACACAAAGTTAAGGAGAAAAACTAATACGGTCATAATAATAGATTCTGAAAAGGCATTTGCTATAATTCAGCAGCCATTCCTAACAGTTAATCCAAATGCCAATAAACAAACAAACAATGGTTTTTGTCAAATTTGCTGCTAGGGAAATGCAAGACAAAGTAACAATGAAATACCACTTTATACCCATCAGACCGACGACAGGCGCAGGGTAGGTGTGCTCAGGGTTGGCTGCAGCCCTTCACATTCCCACCAGGATTTTGGGGAAATGCCCTTGAATACACCTCCTAACCAATCAGCTCCTGGGCATCTGCTGCACAGAAGTAAAACTGGGGCCTGAGCAGGTGAACAGGACGGTATTCAGTATTGCTCTTGGGGGGCCAGCTGGAGGCAGCCTGAAAACTAGGCGAATGCCTATCAGTGCAGGAACAGTTGAGGAAATTGTAGAACGTTGACACCATTAATTAATGGGCAGCACTTAAGAGAGAATACACTTGCCACCCCGAAGGGAAGTGCAAGTTGCAAAATGGTATAGACGGAGCATGATTCCATTTTTGTAAAGACAAACGCTAGGAAACCATGGCTATGTACATCCATGCATATATGTTCTGTGTGCAATTATACCAGCGTGAGAGTTCGGGCACTAGCTGAGGTTTATGAGTTTCGAAGTGGAGTGGACGGAGGACAGAGGGGTGACACTGCAGAGGCAAAGATGCTGCGGTAACTGCCCTCACAGTACAGAACGTAGATGTGAAAGTAGGTTTGTGTTCTGCATTTGTATAAAAATCTAAAAACTAATTTTAAAAGCGTCACCAGGACTGGTCACAGCAGCAGACGTCTTTTTTCTTTGGTCTTTACGATCCATTTTATCGCCACAGCTCAGGTGAGCAGTTATCTTCAGGTCCTTGCAGGTGACAGCAAAACCTCACTCCAAATTTCCTGAACACGTGATCTTCGGAGTTAATAAAAACTTCTAAATAATAATGAACATGCTTGCATCTGTGTGGAGGAAGCACTTCAGCATCTTTTAGACACCTGTTCTTAGGGTCCTGAGATACAGTGTCCCAGTGAGCAGTGAACCTCAAGTTTGTTTTATGTTTTTGGCAGCACTAGAAGCCACATTCTTGCTCTCAAGAACTAGGGTGAAGCTGTCTCTGCAGTGACTCGGTGCACGGCAGCACGCCGCACTGGTTGGAGGAAGCTGAAGATGTCACACGCACGCCCTGTCTAGGCCAGTGGCATCCTCACGCCCTGGGCTGTCTGGTTGGTGGTCAAGTATCGCCCCCCTGTGCCTGTGAGCCCCGAAAATAGTCTAGCCGTGCTCTCATTTGGGGGTGTCAGCCACACCTCCCACCCTTTCCCCCCACCCTTTCCCCCCTAGAAAGGGCATATTCTTTGGATACTGTGCTTTGGTTTGAAAAGTGTAGCCCTTCCCTTCTCTAAGCTCTTGGATTTCTGTTCGACATTCTGTTCGGACTGGCTCTTGTCTGGTTTAAGTGGCCATGGTGGACAACGAGGTAGTTCGACAGGCGAGGGGAACAGCTCTCGATTAAATCCAGGGCTTGGCTTAGCCCCCACGGAACCCTGCAGCTAAATGTGGCTGGAGAACAACACAACAAAACCAGGCTGCCGGTCTGGCTTTGAATTCATGGTCACCAACCTCGAATGGGCCCCAACGTTGCCCGACAAACACATCACGCTCCTCTGGCCTGGTCAGCACTCTCCAGTTATCCTACGTGACTATTGGCACCTTCCTCTTTCCAAATCTCCACCGTGTCCTGCCCTACACTCATTCTCGGCCCATCCCCCGAGAAACAGGAGCAATCTACTGAAGTCCCCCATGCCCGGCCGCTGGTCTTCCCTCTCCCCACTGTCACTCCTCCTTCCCCGGGAAGCACCAGAACCTTCTCACCTTCCGCTTACGGCCGGACTCCTCCAGAGGGTCAGACTCCTTCTCTCCAGCTTCTCTCCTTCCATTTTTCTCCTCCGACCCGGCCCCACCCCTCCTCTGCAACTGCTCCCAGTGACTTTGACGCTGCCAACTGCATTGTTCAGTGTTGGTTCTCAAACCCCGATTAGTTCGGCTTTGAAACCTTTCTGGACCACACCCTCTTGGTGTCGCTCCGTCCCTGGAAGTGCCTGCTGAGTCTCCTTTGCTGTTTGCACTTCATTGGTCTAAACGCCAAGTGACGACTTCCGTCCCGCTGGGGACTGCACCGGTCACCTCGGCGTGGCGCCTCCGGGCCTGCAGAGGCGAGTGCCACGTCCTACTCTTGGGAAGTCGGGACCTGCTCAGTGCGTGGGGTCTGCCCTGGCACGTGCCTCCCTGGGCTGCAGGCAGAGGCTACATTTCATTGCAAATATTATACCGTATTTAGTATTTGCCATTGGAGATAGTTCTAGAATCTATGGATTACCAAGAAACCAGAAGAAAACAAAGTACAAATCTGGGAAGTCGACAGAACATTTTATTCCACAGGAAGAAAAGGATGACTCTGACATGAGAACCAAGTTCAAGAGTCTTAACACACTGGTGATTGTAATAGTGTTTACACAGTAGAGAACCAGATATTTTATTTTCAGAATTTGATCAAGCAGCTACTATGATATTTTGAGGCACAGATGATACTTAAAAAGAAAGTGGCCCTGGAGCCTTCTGCACATTGCGGTGAGTCCACCAAGCAACAAGACACCCTGGGCTGGGGAAGAGGCTGCTTGTCTGTTTTCCATCGTGTAGTGACCAGGCCCAGGGGCGCGGGGCAGGGTGGGAGGGACACTGGGCCTGGCCAGTCCTTCCAGCGGGCGGAGAAAAGCAGCTATGGTTGGGCGGCAACATGAGTCGGCCAGTGGTTGGGTCAGGGAATTGGGATGGTCTTGGATGTCTCCGTATCCGATTTCCCCATATCCTTACTCATTTTACTTTCCTCAGAGAGGAGCTGTGTATTTGAGGCAGCAAGAAAATCAGTAGAAATTATAACAAAGTCTTAGACATCACTAGCTAAATACCAATTTAAAAAGCAATGGGGCATTCAAGGACCCAGGGGCAGAGCCTGCTTCCTCTAAAGCTTTGTTTTTTTCCTGGTAAGAACCAGGAAACTGCCTGGCACTAGGCCCACAGGGCACCGGAGCGCCTCCCACCCAGCCCCACCCCACTAGGTCTTTGGATCCATTATAACACCTGCCTTTTCCTAGGCGCAAATGTCAAAGTGAGCAGTTGTGCAATCATGGGAGATGGGCAACTATTTAAAGAGCTGATTAAAATTAGCAAGGAGTCGGGAGGAGGCGTGTGAAACCTCCCTGAGTCCTCCTGAAGCACCGGCCCAAGGGGCAGCCCTCAACTAGCTTCCTGCACTCACACCTGGCGATTCCAGGTGCTGCTGGGGCCCAAAGCAGACCTCTTTAGCAATACTCCTTAATTCAATAAAGACATTTCAAGTGCCTTTGTTCTAGAAAGAGTTAGAAGGCTCACTGACACACATAATCAACCCTTCTGAGAGTCTCAACTTTAAGAGATCATGATCTCAGGCAGTGGGTTACTGATGACAAAGACCACAAGCCAAGCTTGTGGGGGTGCAGGGAGGGAGGCTGGTGAGGAAGACGGGGAGGAGGTAACACTTGGCTCTCAGATTCCGTGGAGGCCACATGAGCTGATACAGTCATGACTACCACCCAGCAAGAGACACACAAACAACCTAAACCCACCCAACCCTGCAAAAGCCAAGTTTCAATTTTGCAATCCACTAACTTGGGAGTTCAGTGAAGACTATCCAAACCTTGGAGTTCAAGACAACTAATCCTGGAAAACACTACTTAGCTCAAGCCCTTGTGCTAAAGCTCCCTTCTTTCCTCTCAGAACGAACACAAACACACACATACACACACACAGGGGAAGGAAGTGGGGAAGGGGGAAGGAAGTGGGGAAGGGGGAGGGGTGGGAGAGAAGGAGAGAGATTAGCTTCATTTGTGTCTTGGAAGGGTCTGGGTGAGCTGTAAGCACCAAAGCCTTCCGCACATCCACTGATCCTCTGAGTCACCCCAGACTCGGCTACGTGTGATAAGGTTGTAGAAATTGATTAGCTTTATTAAAATAAAAATGTAGAAATCACAAGGTGAGTCATTCATTCTAAAGTAAAACCCCCCACTTTTTTCTTTCCGTATGTGCATATTCCTTACAGAAAAGGAAAGCCACCGGAAGCAAGGCCCAGGAAGAGCGGGCACGCGCACCAGGCCTTGCTGCCGGCTGGAATCTAAAACCAAGGACAAGAGATGCTTTGGCCACATCTTGGTTCCATGAAAAGCTTACAAACACTGGTTTTTAATACTCCTATTTCATTCCCTTTTCTGGAATTCTCTCCCTGTCCCTTTATGTCCTGGGGTCACCGTCTCTGTGTCCCCTAGGGCTGTGGAGCTGCAATGCCGGCGTGTGGCTTTATTAAAAAGAAAACAGTCCCAGGACCTCGTCCTCTGTTGTTGTCCAGGAAGGAGAACGTTCTCATTGCGGGTTTTTGATTTGTTACAACAGTTCAATGGGATTTTTTTCCCTTTTAAATCAACAGAGCCTACCAATGTTTCAAACCTCTAATAATAACCCAACAAAAACTTATAATGCTGATTTGTGTATATATATGGTAATGGAACACAATTTTTCCCCTAAGTTTGGCAGGACTAGTCAGGAGAAAGTCAAATAGATCGATAACTTAAAAAATAACCTGTGACAATATAAGAACTATCTGTAAAATGAGGGTGAGAAATGTAAGGTGGGCTACTACCAAGCCACTCTCCCAGGGCCTTCTGAAGGGCCAGCTCCGGTGGGAATACTTTGGCTCACAGCTCTAGCCTGGATGACCGAAGGTTCCAAAGGCATCACTCTCAATACTCAATCCACTTTACTTTACTTTGAATACTTTAGTTTCCAAAACTAAGACATAACATTCTTCAATTTTTAAGAATGCCTTTCTATAGAGAGTACCCTGAATTAGACATATAGAATTAGTGCAATAGAAGATCCAATATAATTTTATATTACTTTACAGTTAACAAACCTTTACACACATGACAGGCCCTGTTCAGGAACGCTCCTATGTATTTACAAACACATAGTTGTACATATATACATGTTAACAAAATACAGGGCAATCTAAAAATTAGATTCATCTCAGTACATTTTTTTTAACGTTATTCAACCAATATCTTTTAAAAATTACTTCCCCATCATCTAAAGTAACTGCCTGCCCCACAAATGAATATGCTTTCTATTTGTATTTTTCCCCGTGAGGATTTACTTTCCCTCATTCCTTGACATCTTCCCCCAAACCTTATTCTGGTTTTGCCTCTAATTTAATACCAGGGTGCGGGCCTTTTCCTTCCTCCTGGCTGGCTCGGGTGTGTCCGGAAGTCTCTCCAGCAGCTGGGGCTTTTCAGGAGTCCAGCTCCAACTGCTCTTGATTTTCACTGAGTCTCAACATAAGCTGCTGTTCGTAGTAAAGGCTCTTTGCATAGTTTATCTCCTGTGACAACTTGACGGCGAGGACCTCAGACTTCACGTGCACCTGGGGAGGAGAGCAGGATGAGTAGCTGCCCCGAGGCGGGGAGACGGTGGAACCTGAGCACGCGCCAGTGCGGCTGCGCGCTGGAGCGGCAGAGGCGCACCTTAGTATAGACACACTCTGTCTATACTGTTTTGCAACTTGCATAGGCTCCCAAGGGAAAGTCTGGAGTGGAGTCTGTTCTTTTAAACATATTCCCCGTGTGACTGTGCAGCCAACCCATGACCCCTTGAGACTGGTGACCCCCATAACGGAGACGCAGTTTCAGTCCTGAGGAGGTAGGAGCTGGGAGGGAATACCGAGAGCGAGAATAAAGGATCGCACTGCGGATTCTGCTCAAAGTCTGGCCGTGGTCAAAGAAGAAAGAGGAATCAGCACACAGACGCCGCTGGGCCTTTCTCACCAAGAAGGCTTCGCGGCCTGCCTGGCTGGAAAGGGGCAGCGGCGTATCAGGGCTCCGTGAACAGGAACTTGGAGAAACACTCTCAGCTTGGGTGTTAACTGTGCTCATCAAGCAGCCCTGACTCAGGCCAGTGACCCCAGCGGAGCCGCATAAGCGGAGGGCGCGCACTTGAGCAGGGGAGGTCAAAGGACCCCTGGGAGAGGCCCAGAGAGGCTGCTATTCCTGATCTGCGGGAAGACCAGAGACAGGCAGGCTCTTTTGAATGACACTTCTTTCTTGACTGCAGGCTTGAAAATCCTGGCATACCAGGTGAGAGTGTGCAGGGCTAACACCTGAGTGTCAGGACAAGCCACTGAGTCAGACTGTGGCTAGGATGGGTGGGTTTCCTCCAACCTGCTTCTGCGGCAGGACAGCGCCTCCGACCCGAGGCAGCACAGCAAGGGGCTCTGCGGTCTAGACGGCCAGCTCTGGAGTGGGACCGCCTGGGTTTGAACCCCAGCTCCTCCCAGGGTCTGCTGTGTAGCCTGAACAAGTCACCTGCCCTCACCAACAGGAAAGTGGGGAGAATGGCAGCATACAACACAAAGTGACCCACAGGCAGCACTCAGCATGCAGCCAACACACAGCGAGCCCTTCGGGAATGTTAGTTATTCATAGGAGCCTTGTTATTATTTAAAAGTCCTCAGAATACCTTGTCCCCTTTGGATGCACAGCATAATTTCTATTTACAGATATTTGCTGAGCATGCTAGATACTGCTTCTTTGTGCAGAACCAAAAGTCATGGTTTCCACTGTTACAGGAGAAACAGTAGAGAGGCCAGTGTGCGCTCTGGCACCTTCTCAGATTCAATGCGCTGAAGAATCACCTTTTGGGACTAAAATCCCCTGTGCATCGTGTTAGTTGTTCTTCACCACTAACTAGAGGAAGTGCTGCTCCCCTGCCGTACTGACGGGTAACTAAGTCACGAATGTTGAGTAACTCGCCTGGGGTCATGAGCAGCCTGGCTGGGAGGGCAGCACTACTCATTACTGTGGCCTGGGCCCCTCCAGTAACCAGGACTTAGAAGCAGGGGCCTTGGATGAGCACAGCCCAGCCCAGCCTGCAGAGACTTTCCACCTCCAAACCCTGCATGCGCCACCCAGCAGGGCTGGCGACAGCACGGGGGACTCACCATTGGCTTCTGGTGGGAGGGGCCTGGGATGGACACGCCGCTGCTCGTGCTCACGGCTTTCTTGGTCACCTGCACGTACACCTTCCCGTGGTCTTTGGAGACAAGGCAGTGGTAGAGATCGTCGTATTTGACTTCTAGGAAGATGGCCTCTCGGTCCACGTAGTCTCCACTCTTCAGGAAGTAAACAGCTTTGGAGGAGATGAGCACGCAGTAGCTGTCGATGTTCTCCACGGCTATGAAGCTGCAAGGGAGAGAAGAACAAGGGAGTGGCACAGGCATGGCACCTGGAGCTTCTCACGTCAGGCGGAGACCCACTGTGGGCTGAGCAGGAGTCCAGGCAGGCCCCCCGCCTCACTGCACCTCCATCCAGGTGGCCCAAGCACTCTGAGCCTCTGTTTCCTCATTTGTAAATCAGGAGTAAAAGTGACCCCGGCCGCAAGCGCTACAGTGAGGCCCGCGTGTGCAGCACACGGCGCCCGTCCGCGGGCACTCGGTCGGTGCTCGCCAGCGATGGCGTCCAACAGTTTCAATAACAGAAACAATTTCACATCCTGAAATTGTATCTTGTGCGGTGGGTTTTTTTGTGTGTGTGTGAGTGTTTTTAGAAAGCTTAAGGCTTAGAGAAAATTATAACAATGTTTTCTTGAACAAAACAGAAGGAAAACAATTACTGCCTTTAAATGTTGGACTGAAGTAGCAGCTGAGAAGGTTCACTGCCGAGCAGGGCGAGGCAGACACTGGGAGGCAGAAGACGCGGCCGGGGCCTCCGGCGCTGCAGGGAGAAGCCGAATTAAACAGGGCTCCAACTGCACGGCGCGAGGGCGACGCTGCAGCGGGTGTGTCCGCCTCCACCTCTCAGCGCCCTGCTGAGAGGTCACCCCGTCTCCGCGCAACACCTCCAGCGACAGGGAACTCAGGAGACCACTCTGTTCAGAAAACCCTAATAGTCAGAAAATGCTTTCGTAGGTAAAGCTGTAATCTCCATTTTCTAAACTTTTAGTCATTATTTTTAGAAGCTTTAGGGCCACTCAGAAAAAAACCTCTTCCACGGAGCTCACAGATTTAAAGTGGGAATTTATGTCCGCCAAACCCCTCTGTTCAGCTACTGAATGAACCCTGGAAACGGCGGTGACAGCTCCCCCAAGCCTGGCTGCCTCCCCTGCATCTTGTGACAGCCTTTCACAATGGGCTGCAGCGTCAAGGGACAGCAGCAGAGGACGGATGGCGGCAGGAATAATAAGAACTGACGCTAGACTGGCTGCCGAGCTCTGGTTGCCAAACTGTAGTTGCTCAGAGCCAAGGCTCCATCTGGACTGTTCTGGAACCTGGGTCCAGGGCAGCATTGTTCCCAGGTTAGCAGTTGTAAAATCCTCCAACAGAGGCAGAGACCTGCGGGGCCGCGTGGCCTGCCTGCGGGGGAGAGGCTGCTCTCCTTTCCGCCCCAGCTCACTCCCGTGTCCGTGCGGGACACACGCCCTGCTCTCTCAGCCTCTCTGAATGCCCCGCAGCCTGGGGACTCACAGGTTCCAACTTCTCCAAGAGGAGTCCCCTAAATACTCCAATCCCCGCCCACTTCTGAGTGCTCAAATGCGGTGGCCTCCCCAAGCACTGCCCAACGCTGACTTGTTCTTTCTGTGGGCCCTGGAGAAGTCTCTCGGCTCTCTGAGCTGGAAGCCCCATAAGAGTGGGGGACACACTCAAATCCCCATGTCTCCCTGAGCACCCCACTGAGCTGGCCACCCCCAGAGTATGCAGTAAGTGTGCCTTGTCCCAGCTGCCATTTTAATTACAGC